CACCTTGCGAAGCTTTGGAACTCGCACCACCAACGGTCAACTGCGGATCAGTGCTTACAGGAGACACTTCCAGGGAAAGACAAAGGTCCCAAGTGAGGAGGTGCAGAGTCCCGTTCTGTCACGACTGAACACCCCGGGAAGTGTGGCCGCCCACAGACTTGTCTCATAAAAGCCTCTGCGAACAGGCCATGTAAGGCCAGAGTGACTGAACCTCTCAGTAAAGGGAAATGAAAGACAGCAAGAACAAAGAGCTGGCACTGCAAGGGATTAAAGGGTCTGGGGGCCCGGGCACAGACCTCCACAGACGGCCTTGCCATCGGGCTCCCTGACAGGAGTCTTAAAGAAGAGGGGGAAGGAGCACGCGCGGGTGAGCCACCTACTTGTGCTCATCATTCAAGATGTGAACTTTGAAGAACCGGGGCTGGACCTCTTCGGGCTTGTTGTCAGGGGGAAGGGCTTCGGGAGCTGGAAGCCACATGTTGAACTCTGCCAGCCAATTCTGCAGAGTATTGACCTGTCAGAGAGCCAGGCCAAGAGAAGGTTTCACGGATCAAGCCCAGAGCTGCTAGCAAAGGCTCGCCCCCCAGAGCTCTTCAGCGGGAGGTCCTTACCGGCACGATGGCGAGGACGGTCCTGGCGGGCGTGTGGTGGAGGAGGACGTCCACGAAGGAGACCACCTGCAGCGTCTTCCCCAGGCCCATGCTGTGGGCCAGGATGCAGCCAAACCCACTGCTGGTCTTGAACCGCCCCAGGGACTCCACCAGGTTGTCATACAGGAACCGGATCCCCCCGATCTGAGGGGCAAACACCACCACTGTCAGGGGCTGGCCAGCACCAGGCTCGGGAGACACGCTCTCGGGACTGCCACAGGCAGGCATGATGGCAGACGGGCAGAGACGTTTCCCTGCGCCCTGACTGGCCTAGTAAATGGCGGGAGCCTTCTTGGAAAAAAGCAAAACAAAACACTCAAAGAAAGCATTCGCTGGTGCCACAGTCAAACAGCACCAGACTCCCGGCCGGGTTTGTTATGCGGCCTTGGCTTGGTGGCTCCCAACCTTGGGACATCGCCTTGTCAGCACAGCCCATTCCCTCGAGAGCAGGTCTTGTGAGAATTCTCACGTCGCACCACCTCTGCTTTATGGAAATTCCATGCACTGGAGCAGGTTCTCAACGCATACTAACTCTGCTCCCCACTCGTGGCTGCAAAGGGCCCTAGACCTCTGATTCCATGTCGCTTCTGGAGCTACAGTTTCCCGTCAAAACTGCTCTTGAGGCAGGATCTGCATCAGTCTTACTGACCCGCAGAAGGGGCCTCAGCTCTGAGAGCCAGGAGACCCAGAGCCTGCCGCTGACGGGGCAGACCTGAGGCTGGCGTCCGCCCTTTCCTCCGGCTGCCACCGTGTCCGCTGCTAAGGGAAGGACCAGAGCTTCCTGTCCGCTCCCATGCCACACGAGTACTCCACGGCTGTGTTGTGGCTCACACAACCGGCAGCAGGCAGTGCCGGTGGCAAGGGAGCGCGGGGATGGGTTGTACCTGGTGAGGCTTCACTGCTCGCGCCAACTGTGGAGCCAGGAAGACGTTCTCCTCCTCCGGAGGGTGGTTCAAGTTGACGAGCACCCTGCCCAGAGCGTCACGCTGATTTAAGACATCATTGACGTGGGTGCCACCCTTCTCCTCCTCCTCCTCCTCCTCCTCACTGACAGACTCGCTGCTGTCCACAATGTGCAGTGTGTCCTCTTCGCCGGAGCTCAGCTCGATCACCTCTGCGGCGACAACAACACAGCCCCGGAGGCAGTGACACCCGCTGCCGGACCCGAGGGCACTTCGGGTGAGGGCTCGTCAGCATCTCCCAAACCCGGGTCTGATCTTTCCGTTTACTGTGCAGACCCACCCGCTTTTCTTATCGAAGGTGTGGCCCACTGCTCAGGAGGACACGAAGACACCGCTGGCTGGACCTTACCGTCTCGACTACTTTTCTCGTCCTCGCTGCCACTGCTGCTGTCCAGACAGATGACCTCCTGGGCCAGGACCCGAGGCGGCAGCTGGGGGCCATCTCCTGCTCTCAGGGCAATCTCCTCTAGGAAAAGAGCAGTCAACAGAAAGTCAGCGTAAAAAAAAAAAAAAGAAAGTCAGTGTGACCCACACGTCTCTCCATGAGCCCTCCAGCAGTGCGGCTCTTGGGGGAGGAGCCCCTAAGGAGAGAAGCAGGGCCAGGTCAAAAACCACAGCCTCTCTCCAAATTCCCGTTCTGAAGTACTGGCTCCTACTTCCGGTGCCCCCGTTACTATGAGGGTCCAAGACCTGGAGTTAGGGGGAGGGAATCTGAGTAAGAGCAGGTAGAGGGGTGCACTGGTCACCTTAGCTTGTTACATGCAAGCCTCTTGATCACTCACTCAGCAACGGGATGATTCAGGGCTCCCACACTGCCCTCGACCACTGTCGTCTCCTTACCGGGGAGCAGTCCCAGGGGGACGGGGAGCACAGGGGGCACGGGGGCGGCATAATCTTTCCTCTGCTGCTCCAGGCGCTTCCTTCTCTCCAACTCTTCCTGCTGGGCCGCTTTGGTGACCGGCTCCAACTGATCCTCCCGGAGCAGCTTTCTAAACGAGAGAGTACACGCTCCGTCACTGGAGATTTGGGCAAAGCTAATGGCAAGGCAAAGGAGGGGGCTGGTCGCCGCCAAGTTCAGAGAGTTAAGGGGGGAGGAGAATTCTGCCCTACCAGCCCCTCCCTGCAGAGAGCAGGAAAACAAAGCAAGACTTCAAGTCACAGGTGGTTCTGGGAGAGTAAATGCTCTATATGATTGACAACTATATGATTGAATGTTCTATATGAAAAGTTCTATGCACGAGACACCCCTGCCAACTAGTCTCTGCACATAATACATCACAAGAGTGCCATGGCTATACATGTCATTCACGAAGCTGAAAAGCAGCGTTCAGAGACACAGCTGTTTTGTACGGAGGTGGGGCTGTGGGTGATGCTACTTCCTATTTCCCAAACTTGAGGACTGGCGGTCAAGTTGTGATGGGGGTGGATGGGGGAGGGACAGCGGTCAGTGGCAGGAAAGAGCTGCTGGGGGAGGTCAGGAGGGAAGCAGATCTGGTCTTTTCTTTGGGCTACACAGTCCCCTGCCCCTGAGAGCTGAGTTCTAAGAAGATCTGGACTCGGCTCACTTCATTTCCCACGACTGGGCGGCAGAGCATCTCGCAAAGAGCACCTTAGCCTTGGGTTGCCTCCCAGAGCCCATAGAGGGAAACCTCCCCTAGTGGTCAAGGGCTAATCACAACATCCCTGGAGTCTCGGGCAGGCCAGCCTGCAGTGCAAAGACTACGCGTGTCCTGCCCTCCTCTGGAGAAGAGCCGAGCTAGCTCACACAGGTCCTCCGCTCCCAGCAGCCGTGTAAACGATGAAGGGCTTGGTTAGGCCGCACACCATGCAGCTCAGCTCACCGGATGTTTCTCCTCATGTGCGAGGGTTTCTGGGCTCTCTTCTTCTTGGGGTCCTCGGAGGCCAGGCTCTTGTCTTGGTGGGGCCTGAGCGGCTCAGAAGGCTCAGACTGAGATGAGGTAGTTGAAGTGCACCGTGGTGGCTGCTGCCCATCTTCCCCCGGCTGGGCACACTCCGTGTCACATACGCCATCCAGGGATGGCTCTGAAGAGACGGGGGAAAGAAACAACGGCACTGCACTTACTGGGAGGGAAAAATGGGGTCCAGTGTCGGACACACCTGGGGTTCAAATGTCAGCTAAGGAACTTTATCAGCTGGTGACAGACTGCTTCTCCCTCTCGGGGGTTTGACTAGCTCATCTATGGAATGGAGGCGATGCCGCCTTTCACAGCAGGGCTGGGGGCTGTGTGAGTGCTGACACCTGAGCCTGGTCCCAAGTGGGCCCACACCGGTGAGATCCGGCATGCTCCCCTGACTCCTCCTGCTCAACACGGGACAGGGCTACCGCAGTCCACACTTTGAGCAAGTGCTGTCATGCTTCAAACAGGGAGCATAACCCTCCCTTCAGAATCTCACTCATTCAGTCAGTAAATGGGGGCCTATCACAACACAACCACTGTGCTACATGCCTCAAAGGTATCTGGAAGCTTCCAGCCCTGGTGGCGTAGTGGTTACGGGTTGGGCTGCGATCTGCATGGTCGGCAGTTCGAAACGACCAGCAGCATCATGAGAGAAAGACTGGGCTTTCTACTCCGGTAAACAGTTACACTCTCAGAAACCCACAGGGGGCGCCGCGTCACACTGACTCCATGGTGAGCAGACCCACAGGGGGCGCCGTGCGTCACACTGACTTTGTTGGTTGGAGTTCCCTTCAAGGAGTTTGAGTTGTTTAGGGAAACAACATAAATACAGACACAACAAAGTAGGGTATCACAGGCAGGGCAGGCCAAAGGACCTCAACAGTTCAGAGCCTTGACATGCTTTTTCTGCCAGAGATAACTGGTTAAACTAAGGATAACGGTGCAAGGGTCACAGAAGGCACCACTCACAGATGATCAAATAAAAATTACATGGGAGGTAAAATCTGAGCAGAATGTCTAACGGTGATGCCTGGGGGTAGAGGGAAGGGAAGGTAGTGCCCTTGCCCGCAGCTGCCTTCCACTGCCCCACACCCCACTCTGTGGCAATGGGGCTTTCCCTACTGTCACCCAGAACACCCTCCCACGGCAAAAGCCCTCCCCACCTTTGCCTAGAACCTCCACCCACCTCTTCCTGGCACCCTCTCCCACATGTGGTAACGGGGCCTCTCCCACTATTGTCCGGCACCCCCATGCGCAGAGCCACACTTGCCACCTGTAACCACCCCAGCCATGCGCCCTGAGAGGGCCACCCGACCTGCCCTCCAAATGGGATCCTGGCTAAGGAGAGTGAAACCCTAGCGAGGTAAAGATGTAGCCCGAGCCCCCAGCACCACTGGCAATTCCTACCTGCAGAAGCACTCCTACCAGCCTCAAGATGAAAGCCCAGGGGTCTCTGGCTCCCTGGAAAACAGCACCAAGCGCCTCCAAAACGACCCTCAAGCAGCAAGCTACCTCAACAAGCTCAGCAAACAATCAGGAGAAACAGCACGCACTGTCAGAGGACGTTCCGGATCCAGTGGCGTCCACAGGACAAGCAGAACTAGAGCTACCACAGAAAGAGATCTTCAGAGTGCTGCTTGGGGTCATACAGGACAGAGGGACGCCTTGCAGACAAAGGATGAGACGATAGTAGGAGACAGAGGCCACACATCAGGTGAAATAGAGTACCAAAGGGAAATACAGGCATTAAGGGACGAAGTAACAAAAGCAAATCACAAGTTAACAGGCTTCACCAACAGACTAGAAGAACCGGAAAACAGTACCAGTGACCTTGAGGATAACCAGGCAGACTTCAACAAACAGGAAAGACAGTCAAAGAAGATCATCAAAGAAGCTAAGGAAAACCCAAGAGCAATGTCGGATGCAATGAAGAGGAACAACATCAGACTACTTGGGCTACCAGAACAAGGCACAACAAAGACGTCAACAGCAAAAACAGTGAGGGAATTCCTAGAGGAAAACGTCCACAATGCAATGAATGAGAATCAGGCAACCGTCCAGGAAGCCGAGAGGACACCAGCTAGACTGAATCCAAGGAAGAATTTGCCAAGAATCCAGCCAAATTATCTATCAAGATAGACAGAGAACTAACAATCTTAACAGACAAGGAAAAACTCAAATATGTCACACACACACAAAAAAAGCCAGCTCTACAAAAAATCCTTGCCAACCCAATGTGGTAGGAAACCACCACATAAAGCAACTCCACCCAGAAGTCAGCATATTGGGAACAGACCCCAAGATAACACTGGCTCAAAGGTGAGAAGAAGACCAGGATGACCCCACACTGAAAGGCACGAGATAACATCACAGAGTCCACTGATGGGGGTTAACTCTGAACATAAATGGACTGGACTCACCCATTAAAAGACAGACTAGCGGACAGGCGTAGAAAACACAACCCATCGATATGCTGCCCACAAGAGACAGATCTCAAGTTTGCAGACAGTAATAGGCTGAGAATCAAAAGCTGGAGAAAAATATACCAAGCAAACAGCAATTCAAAAATCTGAATCTCTGACAAATGGATCTCAAGATGCACGTCATAACAAAAGATGAGGGGCACGATATAACAATTCTCAAGCAAACCAAGAACCAGCGTGCATAGTACACATTTACGTACCTAACGAGAGACCCGCGAAACGTATCAAACGCTCCAAACGACGAAAAACGAAACCACAGGCAAACACTCCCTCCCTAGGCTCTCCCTGATGGATGTCAAAAACCTCAACAGACCCACAGCAAGAGAGGCAATAGACAAGGTCATCAAGGAAACACCAACCAAGATTCCTCCGGGCCAGGCAGTTTCCCAGGAGAACTTTACCAAGCATTCAGGAGAGAATGACAGCAGTCCTACCCAATCTCTTTCAGAACACAGAAAGCGATGCAAAGCCCCAACCCAACGGCCATGGAGGTGGTTGACTTTGGGTCAGATGAGTCAGTGTGTCACAAGTGCGCAGCGATGTTTATGGGGTCTCTGGCTTCTCCGTGACGTAATAATACTTGCCACACACCTCAGGAAACTATTCTTCATACAACTGTAAATTTCTGCAATTAATTTCCCCTAAGCCAAAATGTGACTTTTGTACATTCTTAATATTGAATCCCATGAATTTACAGCACAATCAAAATAAATTTTAACTTTCAAATAATTGCTCTACTTTATATTTTATAATATAACCCACCAGCAGCCACTCGGGGGGAAAAAACACCAGCCAGAAGGTAAAGAAACGTGCGCTTTGACAGGCCACTGGGGTAGTAGTGAGCGTCTGACTGCCAGCTGGGACTCCACGACTCCTGCTAATGGATAGGTTAGCCATTCAAACCCAGCAGCAACTCCAGTCTGTGGGAGAGTGTGCGGCAGGGCTTCCACACAGACCGCAGTCTTGGAAACCTGACGGGACACTACCACTCAAGTTTTATACAGCCAGAGTTATTAATTGCAGAGCCGACTCAGTAACCGTGGGTTTGGTATGTGGGGCAACCCCTCTAAAATCATAGGATCATAAACTTATTTGGCCTATGGCCTCCTCTTCAGGAGAAAAAACTCCTCACTGCCCCATTCCCACCCCAGGATTAACTGTACTTTAGCCACCATCCAAGATAGTGCATGTTAGCTAATCTTGCATCCGCCTTCGGGGGCAGGAAACACTGCTCTAAAGGGAGTCCCTGGGGGGTACAAACTGTTACGGCTCAACTATTACCCAAAAGATGGGTGATGGGAACACACTCAGAGCCCGCCGATTGGTTTCCTAAAGCCGACAGCCTTGAGAACCCAACGGACAATCCACTCGCACACCTGGGGCTGCCACGGGGACCGAGGCCAGGGCACTGCCGCAGAGCACAGCGTGTCCACACGGTGCCTTCTGCGGTCACCCTGGGAGAGCAGGACTCAGCGGCTGCTGCTTGCTCCGGGTCTCAGAAGGCTTCTGCCCTTGACAGGGTACAGCTCACTGCTTTTCTACTGCCGCATATACTCGAGTATAAGCCGCCCCAATAGCAGCCGAGGCACCTAATTTTACCACAAAACCCGCATTAAAAGTGTGCTGGAAAAACTCGGCTGGTACACAAGTATATCGATACTATTGGGGGGGGGGCCTAGTTGTGTCTGCCTTCTCTGACAAGTTTCTAAGATTGTTAAGATGTTGTGTCAACTTGGCAGACTCAGTGGTTTGGCAGTTAAGGCTTTGTAATCGGCCAAGACAAGACCTAATACGATGTAATTACTTCCATGTGAGATCTGCAATCAATGGAAAGGAAGGTTCTCCAGGGGTGTGGCCTGCTTCCAGTGTATGTGAATGCTATGGGAAAGCTTGCTTGCTTTTTACTGGATCTGGATACTGTATCTGGCTAGTCATTTGACCTCCACTTCTTTGGCCTCAAGCCAGCAGCATGCCTTACTGCACTGGTTCTCAACCTGTGGGTTGTGACCCTTTTGGGAGTCGAACAACCCCTTCACAGGGGTTGCCCAATTCTTCACAGTAGCAAAATGACAGTGATGAAGTAGCAACGAAAATAATGTTATGGTTGAGGGTCACCGCAACATGAGGAACTGTATGAAAGGGTCGTGGCATGAGGAAGGTGGAGAACCACAAGCCTGCTGATCCCAGGAGTAATTAGCAACCTGTAGTCACTGCTGCCAACTTCCGCTTTATTCACCTCTGCAGCCAGAAGCCTACTGCCTGCCTGACCTGTCCATCTTAGGCTCGCCAGCCAAAGTAAACAAAAGAATTCTGATGCTGTATTAGTCTAGGTACTTTAGGGAAACAAATCCACAGCAACTCATGTATAAGAAAGAGTTTTATGTCAAGAAAGTGTGCATCACGAAAACATCCCAACCCAATGCTGCCCAAGCCCACAAGTCCAACATTAACCCATTAACCCAACACCGGTCCACAAAGTCCTCCACCTCACAAAACAGAGGCGATGATGCCGACTGCAGGAGGAAAGCTGAGTCAGTGAACGAATAAGCATCTCAGCACTAGCAGGAGTCTCCACACGGCTGCTCCAGCACCCAGGGCTGCATCGGGATAGGTCCATGTGGCTTCTCCTTGGGGGTGTCTT